GGAGACAGAACTTACAAAGTAGCAGACGATTGTGTCCCTTCATTCCGGTTGGATACCTTGTGTCAAGACAACTACAAGGTTTGACTTCTTGAGCCCTTGAGGGAGCCGTGAGCCGGTTTCCACATGTGGCCACCAACCATCCTTCCCACTGGAAACCCACCAGGTCTGCGACCGTGTGGCTTCCGGGATCCTGGCCCAGTTGCCTTTGGGATTCGTTCTTACTTGGAGCTTCATCAAGTTTCTAGATTCCTTGTATTGTCATAGAATCCCTGCTTGAAACGTGGAGATATCACATAAAGTGGTAGAAATGTATGATAAAACCACATAAAGGTAGTATTCTCTGAGCTTTATAAAGTATCGTGCTCCTGATTTTAGAGTTACTTATGACGTAGCATCAGCAGCAGCCCCGAAAAACTGGACTATGTTAAAGTCACCCAGTGCAGCATCTACCTACGTAGTCGTATTAATTTTCTATGGCTGCCGTAACAATATGCCAAAAACATAGTGGCTGAAACGACACAGATTTGCTGTCTCAGTTCTAGAGGTCAGAAGCCTGACCGGGTCTCACGGCGCTAAAGTCAGGGTGCCGTTCCTTGTGGAGACTCTAGGAAAGAATCTGCTGCTTGCCTATTCTACCTTCTAGAAGCCGTCTGCCTTCCTTGGCTTGCGGCCCCTCCTCCATCTCCAAAGTCAGCAGGGTGGCATCTCTCGGACCCTCTGCTCCGGCCTCCTCATCCACTTGGGAGGACCCCTGTGATGAGACTGGGCCCACCTGGATGACCCAGGCCGGTCGCCCCATCTCCAGGCTCCTGACCACATCTGTAAAGCCCCTTTGCCACACAAGGCCACATAATTCACAAGTTCAGGGGATTAGGACATGGACAGCTTTGGGGGCCATTGCTCCTTCTGCCCTAGTAGAGTCCGTTAACTCCCTCTGACACAGAGGCAGGTAGGGCTCCAGACCGTTTCCGAGCTCTGCCTTTTCCCGGCCCTGTGTTTTCTTCTATAAGCTCTGTAGACAGGACCCTGGCAGAGCGCACAGGAGAGCAAGAAGGAGCTCAGCCCTGGGGGGCTTCAGGGAGGCATGAGAGGAAGTGCCCCTCAGTCTGTCCCAAACCCCTCAGCTGCTGATATCCGGCACCTCTAAGGCCTAGGGGATTTGCAGAGAGGCAGCTGGGGTGGTGAGCTTCCTGGCGAGTCTCAGCCTCTTACAGAGAGTTGGCACCGGAACTCGGGTCTAGAGGGTACCGTATGTCCTGGGGTCCTGAGTCCCGGCCTCTCAGACCATGCTGACGTACCGGGCGAGCTGAGCTGCGGCCCTGGCCTTCCTGTGCAGGGACCACCGCCACTGTGGTCACGTCTCGGCATCTGATCAGGCATAGTTGCTCATCTCCTGGGACCCGGAGAGAAAGGGCAGGGTTTTTAATGCTTTGCTACCCTGTGTTCTTCACAAGCTGAAAACGTAAAATCTCCCTTGCTAACGCAATGGCCTGTTTGAGTCATTTAGACAGTGTTAGAAGCAGCCTCTTGGCCAACGTATATGTGCCCGCTATAGAAGAAAATTGTGATTTGTTTTAAAACATTACTTCTTATTACCGTGTTGGTGTAATTCTCCACCCAAAGACCCTAAGAGCGTTGTGTGGGCACACTCCACCTTTGGGCTTAAGGTGGCTTTTCCTGGAGGGCTGTTAAGCAGAAGGGCACTCAGACCCTACCAGAAATTTCTGTCCTGGGCTAAACGTCCATGTGACATAATTAACGTGGGCAAGTGATCTCCACGTGGCCACATTTGCAGGCTCACTGGTTTGTCACAATCTCCCCTGAGAGACAGCTACTCCTGTGCCTGTTAGCAAATGAGGAAGCCAAGGCACAGTGTGGGTGGCCGCCTGCCCAGTGCACCCCAGAGCCTGTGGAACCCGAGGTCCTCCGCAGGGCACCGTGGGCCATCTGGGGCCGCTCCGGGCCTCAGAGAGCCTGCCTTTCATGGAGACACTTGGCGGGGAATGGCTGTCTGTTCCCACTTCAGCAGCTCAGAGGAGAACTTGGGGCGCCCTCCCGGCCTCCATGCCCTGGGCCGGGAGAGTGGCCTGACCACCTGAGCCTGTCCTGGTGGGCTCGTGGCTCCTAGCACCGATGACAGGCGGCAATTTCCCCCTTGAGCTGGTCGCGCCTGGTCTTTTAAATAAACAAGCCATTCTGCAGGTGGATTTGGACATGTGACCTAGTGGAAAAGCTCCCAGGCAGCGTCTCGGTGCTCTGGACCACTCTGCCTCTGCCGTGCCCCCCAGAGAGCCTCTGAGCACGTGGCTGCTGTGCCTGGCAGGTCCCGCTCCCCAGTCTGCAGCTCCTCGGGCCAACGGAAGTGCACGCCAACACGAGCCAGCCGCTGCGGTGCTTCCCTGTCTCAGGTGGTGTCCCGGTGTCCCAGGCAGGGGTTGGGGTAGGCCTGGCACGCCCCTCCTGTGGTCCTGCCCCTGCACCTGGGATGGACTGAGCCAGGCCTCGTGGGAAGGAGCCTGACGCCCCATCTCCATGAGGTCTCTGAGTGCCCTGCCGCTGGTCTTGTGTCCTGTGTCCCTGTGCTCCCTGGGGAACCATGTTGACGGCCTTGCTCCCCTTCCGGGTGACGGAGGGGCCCGCAGGCCCCTGGTTCCGGCTCTGATCCCATGAGAACGCACTGTTCCGGCCTCACGGAAGCGGCAGGAAGGGGGAGCCAGGCCGGGCTGCGCCTTGGAGCAGGTTCTGTCCACCAGAGCCCTGTGCATGATGGCGGCAAGGAGCACCTGCCCCCACTGACCTCTGGCCTCATGAGATAGGAGTGGCGGTCCCTGGCGGTGAGCAGGTCGAGCCCGGATGCTGGGTGTTCTCGTATGAAAAGTCCCGCAGACCCTGGCTGGGTGTGGTCATGAGGGCAGCCGTGCCTGGAGCCGCCTTCATGCCGGGCACACTCAGATGGGGGTTTGCCCATGCTTCCAAACACAGGTGCACCTACGGGGTCATCCAAAACAGAGCCTTCAACTTGGGGGCCCCTGGGGAGCACTCTGGCAGGGGTGTCCTGACCCCCCCCGAAACCAGAAGCAGAATTGGTGTTATATTCCTCTCAGGAGAGCCGGCCCCCGTGGCAGTCACAGGTTCTCCAGGGGTAGAGAGGACACTACCGTGGGAAGGACACACGGAGATGCGTCTGCGCCGCCCCCATCCGGCCCCAGGTGCCGAGCCGCCTGTAACTCGGCCACGGCCTGGTGAGCCTGTGAGTGGCGTGCCCCAGTGGGTCACAGAGGCAGCTCCTAACGGGGCAGCAGAAATTGCCCACCGACCCTGGGCCCTGACGTGCTCGCACTCTGGTCTCAGCCCAGCCACAGGTGTGTGTTGGGTGCTTTGTTCGTGACTCTGCCCTCATAGAGCTCCCCTAATGGCCCTGTCACTGACCGCGTGGCCTTCCTCCCCTCCCGGAAATGGCTGTACGGGACACGAAGCCCTCCCTGTAAGTATGAAATTGAATGTGGCTTGGAACATTCTGGTACTCTGTAACATGGAATAACTGCCCCTGCTTCTGGCCTGCCCACACGCTCACCCCTAACAGTCACCACGCTGTCTTGACTTGTCTGTCCTCCTGGGTCTTTGAACGTGTCTCGTGGTGCCTGTCTCCTCGGAGCTCGGACACCGGGGTTCCCAGGGTTGTTAAGAGGTTCCCACGGCCAGCACTGGTTCCAGGGCTGGTTCCAGGGAGCAGGTCTCAGCATCATGTGCTAGACTTGGGCAGGGATTTCCTTGAACCCATCCCAGAACGAGGCCATGCTGGGAGTGGGGGCGGGGGGCCGTTCTGGCTACACGTTGGTGGGGGTGCAGCCGGGTGTCAGGCCCTCCCCCCGGAAGCCCCTGAGGATTAGTGCTGCCTCGTGGTCCAGCGCCACACCATCAGCCATGATAATGACGGTGCTGAGTGCCTTCTGCCACTGGGCACCAGGTTAGCACCCTGGCTCATTTCGTGTCTTCCCCATAGTTACCCTGGGAGGCAAGTCAAGTCTGTTTATAGGAGAAGACTGGGCTCTGTGAGATGAAGGGAGCAAGGTGCGAAAGGGCCAAGGCTGGATGGCAGGCAAGAGCCCGTGAATGGGGGGCGGCGGGGAGGAGAACCACTCTAGGTTGGGAAGCAGCTGCCAGGGTGGAGAGTCATGACCCAAAGGGCACGGGGAGCACAGGGAGGTTGGGTTGAGGTTGAGAAGGAGAGGCTCCCCCGGGATGGTGTTATGGGAACGTAGGACTCTGGACTGCATCATAATCAACAAGGGAAACCATGCCAGCCCAGGCAGGTGGTGAGCACCTGGGGACTCGGACCAAGTTCAGGGTCTCAGCTATGTTGTGGGGCAGAGTCTGCAGCTCCGAGGAGAGCTCTGGTCCTGTGAGCAAGCCTGCCGGAGAGAGGGAGAGCCTGATGGCACGGACGCGGTTTTGACAGGACAGAAGGGCAGGAGGACATGGGCTGAAGTACACACAGTGGCTCTGGGGGAACGCAGCCAAGCGCCCAAGGCTGCCGTCAGACCAGCATCAGGAACAATAGCCAGGGAGCTGGGAGGGTACCGGGAAGGTGGCTTAGAGCAACATGGCGGGGCAGCCGTGTGGCACAATAAGGTCACAGTGTGGACGGTGTGGCTACGTGGCCTTAATGTGACTTCAGAGGGACAGAGCCAGCTCACCCCCCAGCTGCCTGAAAGCAGGTTGGGGGCTGCCCCTCCCAGGGGGCAGGGGGCCAGGTGACGGCCACCACTCCAAATGTCCATGTCAACACTAAAAGCAAACACCTGCTCCCGAGGCAGGTGAGCATTCAGGGCTACTAACGAGGCACAGTGAGAATCCGTCATTTCCATGTCCTCGTAGTTGTTAGACGCTGCCTAACCGGGTGTCTCCTAACGCCCTCGGTGACCTGCTGCCTGTGCCCTCCCGCCCCTCCCCGCCCCTCCGCCAGTGTCCTCCGCTAACCCGCTGTCCGTGCCCCGCAGGCTGCGTCATTACCATCTCTGGACGCATGACCTTCACGAGCAATAAGTCCATGGAGATCGAGGTCTTGGTGGACGCCGACCCCGTGGTGGACAACTCGCAGAAGCGCTACCGGGCTGCCAGTGCCTTCTTCACCTACGTGTCCCTGAGCCAGGAGGGCAAGTCGCTGCCCGTGCCCCAGCTCGTGGTGAGTGACTCCCCACCCTGCTGGCTGGCCCTGCCAGCACTCAGTGGCTCCCAGGAGAGACTGGAGTCCTGTGAGCCCCTTCTGGGGGGCAGGGCCCCAGCCCGGCCGCCCCGCGGCCCAGTGACCTGGGCTGCACTGGCCCTCAAACGCGAGGGCCTTCCCCTGTGGACTGTGAGGTCAGACCGGGCAGACAGGACGAGAGAGACCTCTTCACGAGCTACGAGCTCCTTGGCTCTGGGGGTTCTCTCTCGAGGGTGAGTACAGTGCCCAGGGGCTCCCAGAGCTATGTATAAAAGCTACAGTGGGGCTGAGGCCCCTCCCAAGGGATGGGTTCTCGAGGAGCCTTGGCCTGAGTGTCCTGCTTGATGGGGACTGAGCCAGACCCCGACAGCATGGAGCTGGGCATCAGGGACTCAGGGTCCTTCCCTGCCTCGGCTGCCTGGCCGGGCTCTGCCCTGGGTATGCAGAGAGAGATGGCAGGTGTCTGGCCACACAGCCTCCCACGTGAGATGCTGCCACCGCAGTGTTGAAGGGTCCCGGAGCAGGAATCCCAGCAATTTGACAAGTGCTGGACGAGTGCTGGGAGAGTCAGGGAGCCAGAGGTGGCCGACGACGTTCAAAGTGGGGAATGGGGAAGGCGGTGGGTGGGTGGTGAGGATGCTTGACTGGGAGGTACTCGGGAACTGTGGAATGAATGAATGAGTGAATGAATGAGTGAACACATGCACGCTGCTTCCAGATCTCCCTTGAGGCCAATGATGGTTTTACCCTAAGCCTCACGCATCCCTTACCAGTGCCGGTCACAGTCCCGTCTGGACCTTGTCCAGGCACTGGCCAGCAAGGCCTCTGCGGCTCCCCGCAGCCAGCACCACCCCAGCCCCGGGGAGCGGGGCCCCCGCTGCTGGCCCCCCTGTCACCAGACAAGGACCCGTCGGGCCGACAAGGCTGAGGCGCTTGTGGAGGGTCGTACATCCCGTCCCGGGGAGCCTGCATTTGGGTCCAGCACACGACTTGCGGCTGCTCAGGCTGCTCCTGATGCCCCTTGAGCCGGCCTGCACGTCTGCCGCTGGAGGCCGCTCTTGTGGGGCTGCAGGGGGAGCTCCCCGCCCCCGGCGGGGTGAGGGTCGGGGGCAGAGTGGCCTGGGCGGGGGCGGGGGCGGGGGTTCTCTAGAGCGCCTGGCACTATGCGGCCCCCTGCCGCTCCCGCGGCGGCTGCTCCCCAGGCAGATCCTGTGCCTCCTGCAGGAGAAGAGTGGGCACTGAAAACCTTTACGACAGACACGCCACAGTGGAGACCCGCTTCTCACGCAGGCCGGGAACTAGGCTCCCACGTGCCGCTCCCTCCGGCCCCGCAGTCTCTCTCCATCGGAGCTCTGCCCCCACCCGCCCCCTCTACAGGCAGGGAGCCCCACACAGCCCTCCTGCTGTCAGCCCAACCAGCCTCCCTGAGACCCGCCTCACCTGAGCGTGAGGACTAGGGGTGTGCGTCCCACACGCTGCCTCTCGCCCTGACCTGTGGCCCCGGGGGGGATGGCTCCCATGCCCACCCTGTCCCCTTGGCTGATGATTGTGTGTTCCCCCTGACCGCCTCTGGCCTTGACCTTAGCAGCCACGTGTCTCTGGGTCTTGGGCCACTTTTCCTCAGAACCTTGCCTGCTCCTCTTGGCCCTCAAACACAGGCTTTCCCCGCCTCTCTCCTGAACCCCCCGTCCCATCTTCTTCCATGTTGTCACAGTGCCCCATCCCGAATGCTGAATTCCGCCTCACACAGGCAAATACTTGCTCTCTGTTCTCCTTAGCCTCTGGGCTCCGGCAGCGCAGCCAGATGCAAGGACACTCTGCGTCTCTATCTCGCCGGCCTGGCATGATGCGCCAGGCCTCGGGAGAACCTGTGCTCCCTTGACACAGAACCGCAGTGGCCAGTCAATCCATGATCCCCCAAAACACCAGGCCCTTACGGGTGCCCCCCCATGCCCTTCACTCCCCCCTGAGTGGCTGGGTCCAGGCCTCGAGCCACGAGCACTGTTCTGTGCTCACTGTTCAGTCCCCAATTGGCTCTGCCAGCTCTGCCGGTCTCCCATAGGGACCCGCACGCATCTCAAATGTGATGTATCCTGAATTGAGCTCGTCACCTTTCCCCAAAAAATCCCACTGGTCCTCATGGGTTCCCTCTCTCAGTGAGCCTGGGGACTGGCCTGGCTCCTCTCCTCTATGCTGCTCAGCCCCCCACACCCACGGTCTCTAGGCCCCATCGCTGGCTGGATCGCTGCTCAGCCCCAAGCTGTACTGCCTCCTCCAGGCTTGCTGCCCTCCACCCGACCCCACACCGGAGCGGAGGGAGTTTGTTAAAATCAGATTTTCTCCCTCTCCCACCTAATCTGCTCTCTAGCCTTGGTGCCCTCAGCACAGGGTGCAGCAAAGCTGGCTTCTCTGGCTTCAGCCCCCAGACTCATTCCTGCCTCAGGGCCTTTGCACACACTGTCCCTCTGCCTGGATACCTTCCCTCAGACTGTTGCGGAGCCAGCTCCTTCCACGGTTTCTCAGATAGCCCATCCTTAGATCGCCTTCCCTCCACACTCGAGATAAAGCCTGACCCCCACCACTGCCCAGCGACTCTCTCCTGTTCCCACACCATCTCCTGGCAGCCGGCACCATCTCAGAGCCTCTGGTGCATCCAGACCAATGTGTGATTCCAGGATGCCCGGCACAGAGTGGGGCTCAGGAAAATACCCGTGGGTGGGCTCATGGGCTTGCTCGCCTCTCCAGCCACATTCCTCTGCCGCACTGGTCAGTGCCCTGCTGGTGGACAGTTGGCAACTGCAGGTCCCTGAACGCCTCGGGGATTCCCCACTCACTGTTGCAGACACGCATGTACTGTGGGGGCACACGTGGGCATGGGCATCCTGCTGCCTGGGTTCTGGTCAGGGTGTACTGGTTGTGTGGTCCCAGGCTTGCTCTTCTTGGATGCGCCTCTGTTTCCTCATCTGTACCAGGGGGACGGCCCTAGTGCATGCCACAGAGGGTGGGTGAGGGTTCTGTGAGCTAGCTTATGTGCCTGGGAGCGCCATACTCGTCTGCTGCTGTGCTTTCCAGACCCCTCCCACTGGAGCTGACGCTCTCCTGGAGGGAGCCAGTAAGCAAGTAGGGACACCAGACTGTGAGATGCTGGTGAGGGTCATGGGGGAGGAAGCAGGAGGTGGGGGATCGGCATTCCCTGGGAGAGTTGTTGCTACTTAAGGAGGTTCCTTCCACGGAGGGCCTCATGGACAGGGCTGCGTTCAAGCAGGGCCTGGTGTTGGGGGCAGGGGAGCCATTTCCCAGAAACTATCTGGGTAAAAGGAACCAGGGACTTGGAGGCCTGCGGGCTGGAGCCGACCGCCCATACAGGCAGAGGAGGGGGCAGGAACACACCTGAGGCCACCCAGCTGATCCCGGCCAGGCCCAGCCCCGGGACCCAGCCTTCTGACCACGTGGGGCCTTTCCTCTGCTGTCAGCTGAGGGCGTACAGCGGCCTGCAGGGCTCCCCAGATGGACATGAGAGTAAGCACAGCCGAGGAGTCAGACCATCTTCATTTTGCAAAGGCTCATTCTGAGTAGATGTGAATTGACAGGGATTTCCGGCCAGGTTCGAAGGGCTGCAGCCATGGCTGAGTTGTAACGCTTGCCTGCCCAAGAGCGCAGCAGCTGCTGTGTGCTGCCCCCGCCTGCCCTGCGTGCACCCCCAAACTCAGCCCGCTGGGGAGACCAGTGCTGTAGCCAGGAGGGGTCCAGTCTCCCATGGACAGTGCCTGTGGTCCAGGAGCCCTTTGTGGGGGTACCCATGACCCTCACAGAGGCGGAAAGCAGTCCTGGCTCTGGGCCAGTCTATGTACCCGGGAAGCTGCCGTGCCCTTTCTAGAAACCCGTGACGTGGTTCGGGGGTGTCAGTCACAGGTGGAGGGCCAGCCCAGAGGAAGGGATGCTAGTGCCCAGCAGGCAGGGAAAGACCCCTGCTTGAATGAAGGGGACAATGGCCGAATCCCTAGGTTTGAGGGGCCAGTAGTTAGTAATGGCCGTGTCTTCCTGCTGCTGGCCTCACGCTGATCCAGCCTGTTATCTTGCTAATTAAAGATGGTCTTTGATTCTTCACAGAGGTGTCCTGGGGCCTAGGCTCTGGCAGGGAGGGTGGGCAGCTCCCCAGAGAGGGGTTTTCAGCTCAGCCTGTGTGTGCACTCCCTTGAGGACCGCAGTGTGACACCGTCTGCCTCCCCAAGCGCACAGGAGCTCCTTGCAGCCAGCCCGCCTGTGCCTGGGGGGGGCTCAGCCCTCCGCCCCGCCCCGCCCCCCTCCCCCATTGTCAGCAAGTCTTCTACCTCCTGTCTATTTTTAGCTTCCGTCCCCAGGGCCCAGCTGACACGGAAGGCAGCCTTGCTGTTTGGGGTTTCTCTTGGTGAATATTTTATGCCGGGGGAGGATGCACAGAGTCCAGCAGCTGCTGACACTTTCCAGGCTAATGATTAAAGAGGCAAATGCGCAGCATGGAGCCAGGCTGCTGGTCTGGACACCCGGCCCAGGCCCCCCGGCTGCCCGGCCCCCCTCTGAAGGCCGCTCTGTGGCCATGACCTCTGACCTTGGGGGTGGAGGACATGCCCCAGATTTCACTGAGCAGGGCTGGAAAGGAGACCTATGCAGAGACACGGGGTGGACGCCACTAGGGTGGTTGCCTGGGGACCAGGCACCAGGTTGGTCCCAGCACCCGCTATGGGTGCTGTTTTCAAGCCCTTTTTAGTCTCCAGAAACGTGAGGACCAAATTGTGTGTGTTGAAGGCAGAGTGAGTGCTGTCCTGCCCGACCTGCCTCCCATTCTTTGGTTGAGATGTGGGTGCTGCTACCCCCGAGGGCCCCAGGGAGACAGGAGGTGTCGCTGGCGAATGTGTGAGGGTGGAGGTGCCAGAGGTGCAGGCGTCCTGGCCCTCTGTGAGGACCGTGTGTGTCGACACGGGGCACATGGGATGAGGGCG